CGATGGACATGTCCGGAGTGCAGGGATGTTGCTTCCTGAAACAAGAACAAGAACAAGGAGTGTGTGTGTGTGTGTGTGTGTGTGTGTGTGCATGTGTGCGTGCCACAATTGTAATCAAGTGCAGCGTTTCTGTGTGTGTGTGTGTTTGGTCAGCACAGTTACTGTGTGTATATCTGTGATCAGTATCATGACTGGGTTCTGTTTTCTACCCCAGAGTGGTATGCAGCTGTATTGGCACATTCTGGAAAACTTGCAGCTGGAATCGAACCGGGTAGACAACTTTGAGGCTATCTACTGCACCATGTGTCTCCTGTGTCTGGAGGTGGGACAAGATGAGGTCATCATAGAGTTGCTTCGTCTGGCACTGGACATACAGGTGAGGAGGACATGCAAGATAAGAGAAGGACTGTTTTTTTAAGTTTTAGTAGAGGTTTTATGGCGCTCGCAATTGAATAAAGGTAATATGTATGCCAGAAGATTAGGGGTGTTACAAGAGAGTAACAAACATAAAAAAGAAGAAGGGGTGATAAGGACGATAGATGTTTGATAGGAAAGAAGGAGCAAACCACACCAGAGCACCTGCCAGCCACCCATGAAGGACTGTGATACACAAGTGAGGTGGCATAAGATTGATGGAATATGTAGTTGAGTGGAGATACAGAGATTTACAAGTGAGGAGAAAGACAGGGATGTTCAGATGAGGCGACCAAGGGGTGAAGGAAAATGATATTCTGTACAAGCAAATGAGGCAGGGGTAGGCCCAGTGCAGCTTACTCGGAGAGCCTAAACAGATGGGTGACAGAGAAAGATCAGAGTAATGTAGCTTTTTTTAAGAGCAAGGAATAGGGATCCATGATCGCCAGTGTCTGTCGCAGACCTGTCATTTGATGATGATGATGTACAGGTGAGGGGAAATACAGATAAAGGTAAATACATGGGTATTCAGGTGAAGGGAAGGACAGGGACATATAGGTAAGGGAAAGACAAGGACGTACAGGTGACTAGACATACACGTGAGGGGAAGACTGGTGAAAGTGCAAGGACAGTCAGTGGAAAGGAAAGATGAAGACGGACATACAGGTGGGGGGGAGGAGGAGAGGAACACATAAATAAGGGGAAATACAAGGTATACGAGTCGTAGGTAGAGCAGTGATGTACACCCAAACCTCTTTTCTTTTCCTCTGTTGTTTCTGTCTGTCTGTCTGACTTTTTCCATGCATTAAATGATGGTTATTGTGTAGATGTAAGCTACTTCTTTTTACTCAAACAAACAAACAAACCCTTTCTCTACAGCAAATGGCCCTGAACAACTCTGGTCTGCCCCGGACACACCTGTGTGCCATCCACAGTCTGGTGGCTGCCTTCCTCAACCTCCTGGCCCAGGTCACAAATGTGGGCTCTCTCTCTCATTACGTGCTGAGGGTAAGTCTGTCTGTCTGTCTGTCTGTCTGTCTGTCTGTCTGTCTGTCTGTCTGTCTGTCTGTCTTTCCCCTCCCTCCCTCTCCCTCCTTCCTTCCCTCTCTCATTTTCGTACTCACTCTCTCTCTCTCTCACTCACTCATGCTCTCATTCACTTATTCACTCTCTCACTGCTTGCTACTTATGATTTAGTTTTTAAAAATGAATGCACCAAAAGTTTTCTTTTTCTTAAGTATTGTATATTTAACTTTTTTGGATGTTGTAAAAGGTTATGTTTCTTAAATGTTTGTTATAGTTATATAATTTTTATTTTGAGGTTTGTAAGCCCTGAAAAAACAAAACAATGTTTAGGCGTATTGTTGATTGTCTTGGTTCAAAGTCCAGATTTTGTCTTTATTATTGTAGTATCATAGTAATTGTGGATATTCCTATAAAAGGGTTACCGTACAAATGCAGATATTTATGTAAAATGTGTGGGTGGTTCCAGGCCACTAGTGACAACTTCTTCATAGCCAGTTTGGGGGTAGTTGGAGGGTGCCTCTGGTATGTCCTACTTCTGTTCTCTCCCACTAGTGTCCCTGTCTGTCTGTTTGTTTTTATTCCTCTAAATGACCATTATTGTTCTGATGTGCTTCTCTCTACTCGGTGGGTGGTTGGCGGGTGCTCTGGTGTGGTTTGCTTCTTTTTTCCTATCAAACTTCTATCATCCTTATCTCCCCTTCTTCTTTTTTATGTTTGTTACTCTCTTGTAACACCTCTATTCTTGTGGCTCTCATATGACCTTATGCAGTTGCGAGCGCCGTAAAACCTCTACTAAAACTAAAACTCTCTCTACTCGAACAAACAAACAAAACATCACTGCCCTTCTGTTGTTTCAGTCTTTCTTGCTGTTTTTTCTTGCTTGTCCCAACAGTTAAGTACGATATATACTTGCCTATAATACGAGCAATTTTTCTAAAACACGAGATCCTAAAGTATACCCTATGTATTGTAAGCATGACATGCAGCCAAGATTGGACCCAGGAAAGGGGTAATGTGGATACTTCATTTAAATTGCTGCTGATTTATTTGTAAAAATCTGGGTGTTGCAACACATCATGGCATCTTGCGCTTTCTTGGAATATCTGCCACTCCAGCTTTACAAATTAACCCAATCTCAAGGAAACAATCAACAGTTCTTTGGGATGAAACACTATATTTGAGGCTGGAATAGTATTTGATTTAAGGCATGATGAGTCTAACTAGCAAGTTAGAAATTGACCCCGTATTATAGGCATAGGCTAATTTTGGAGTCAAAGTATACCTCGTGTATTATACATGAGTTCATGTTGTAGGCGAGCACATACAGTAATTAATTAATGTGGTGTCAGTGAGCTCCTGTTCATCTCAAACTCAGCCTGTAAATTGTTATTCATGTGCCATCCTTGTGACACAGGTCTTGGAGAATAGGGAGCTGGAGGGTAAGCATCTCCTGCCAGACTTTGCCTTCAACCGATCCAACCGGCCACACAGGTGGGTGCCTTTCAGGATTTTCTGTACGCATAAATACATACACACACACATACACACACACACACACACACACACACACACACACACACACAGACACACACACACACACTCACACACTCATACACGCTGCTGCGTTAACTCATACGCCCAGGACAGGAAAGTCACTGTACCTCGCTCGCTTAAAGCTATATAAAAGCTGCACTATTGACTGTAGTATGTACCCAGTACGCGTACTATAGCCTTGACCTTGAAGTGACCCATTGCTCTAGCCTGGCTCATACTATGTTCTCAGCTGAGAGTCAAAGAGCATGTGGGAAGGGCTGTTTTGAGCAGTCCAGCTTTTGGATCAGTATCAAAATCAGCTTAGTAAGAGACTGGTTCTCTCTGCACCATCGGTTAAATTTTAATACAGACTGTTCCTGAAGGAGAGTGAGCTATGTTTTAAGAGAGATAGTTGCTTTAGGAGACTGGGATATGTCCTTACAGAGATGGTTTATGAAGGAAACTGGGTTATGTTCTAGCAGGGATGGTTTTATAAGGAAACTGGGCTATGGTAACAGGGATAGTTTCTTAACCCTATCAGTACGCCCTGAGGTCATTTTGTACTGGGGTTGTATTCTTCACATTTTAGAATACTTCTAGTGCGAAGATTTCTTTGAAACTTTCAGTATTTATCAAAAAGATCATTTTGACAGACTGCTATGCAAAGCGTACGGATCGGATTAACGAGTAAATTTCCTCTTTGGAAAGTGGTGGCACAGAGTTCCCCACTTCGTATGGATACGATATTAAAACATTGAGGTATGGATAGGATAAAGGAGACTGGGATATGCTATTAAATTGATGGTTCCGTCAAGACCCTTGGTATTGGTGACCTCCAGGGTGAAACGTGAAGAAATGATTAAGGAGGTATATCGCGCCATTTTCGAAATTTTGATTCTTACAATGGGACCAACACTTGTTTGATCTTTTTTTTGTTCTTGGAGGGGGGGGGGGCTTGGTTTTTTTTAAAGGGATTGTGATGAGGAGAGTGAAATAAGATAGTCTGAACAGATCTGTCATATATTAGTTAACTTATCTCAGGCAATACATTGGTCTGAATGATTGTGGCTCTCTGATCTTATGCAGATATTGTTAAAAAAGTTCAGGTCAGATGTACGACATACAATGTAATGCTTGGAGAAGTAAAGATTTATTTTTTTTTATTGCTGTGAGGTTTCAGTCAGCCCAGAACTGATTCAGCATAAGCTGTGTGCAGCATTGTTCCTCCAGTCAGTGTTTGCTTTACTTTGCTTCGGCCCGCGTTCCCCTCTGTGTCTGTTGCGGTGGGCACCGCCCAGTTTTTGGTTTTCATCTCTAACTGTCTACATGTGTATAAGCCTTATGATTCAGTTGCAGTATTTTATAGTCACAGAATAGAGTTTTTCTGTCAGCACTGCAGCGTGTACCTCTCAAGCACCAACCCCATGTAATATGTGGGTTTTGTGTACTGTGAGCTTATTCATAGCCGGCCGTCTCATTTGTCAGTCTGTTGGTCTGTTTATTCATTTTGTTGCTAAACCTCACTTAGACGTGGAAGCAAATCCTAGGGAATTGATGGGAGCAGTTGATGAGGTGATGTGCCTTTTAGCTGGTCACGGCATCAGGGTAAAACAAGGCTTGTCATTCACAACACTTCTGTGAGTGGATACACCCCTTGAACCCTTGAGTGACTACTGGAGTTCGTCCTAGGTGTGTGTGTGTGTGTGTTTGGGGGG